AGGTGTGGTTTCAGAACCGCCGTATGAAGGACAAGCGACAACGGATGGCCCTAGCCTGGCCTTACGGAATCGCCGACCCTCACCTGTACGCCTATCTCGCTGCGGCCGCCGCCTCCTACCCCTACAGCCTCACTCCCCCACCTCCAGGCCTGGGCTGCTACCCAGGGGGCGTGTCCCTGTCGCGCGGAGCGGCCCCGCCCCCTTGTGGGTTCCCGCCCCCAGCCCTCCCCATGTCGCCCAACGCTCGGCCTACACCAGTGGCGCCCTCCGACTTTCTGGGCAATCTGACCAACACGTACCTTCGTCCCAACGTTGTGCACAATTTCGGAATGGGTGCGCATCCAGGATCGGCGGGGTTTCCCACTTCGCCACACAACCCGTTGCTACGGACGCCGTCGGTCGACCCGGCTGCAATGTCTCTGCTCGTCGCGCATGCATCGTCCGCTTCCTCGGTGTTGGGCGCCCAACATCTAGGGGGACACTCTCCTCACAACTTCCTCAACTCAATAGACTCGGCCAGACTCGCGGCAGCAGCAGCAGCAGCAGCAGCATCGCCAGCAACAACAACAACCACATCCGCGGTCGGTGGACCTTACTCCCCACTCACCACACATCGCCAGCATTCTGTCTCACCGCAGCACCACAATATATCCGCTCTCTCACCGCAGCACCACAATATATCCACTCTCTCGGCACATGCGCGGAAAGAGAGCCCACCAATCCACGCGCCTGTAGCCACAAAAGTCGGAAGTACATCGGCCGGTGCCCCGAAGGGAATCTTCCGACCTTTCCAGACAGAGCTCGAGCAAAGTTAACGACTTATCACGTGACCGTGGTTACATTCAGAATTCCGCGCCTGAGTCACTCTCGAAGGTATAGCAGTTTGATTCCTGAGTGGGGAGACTTTTTTATCGAATGTCTTGTGTCTTTCAACTTGGATGCTGTATCCCTCTCAGTCCGGGTTGGCCCTAATTTAAACTGTCGATGGGGGTGTAAAACACCTACCTTGAAAATAAAATACTCTCCAACAAGTAAAAAGTCTACACAGCGCCTGGTTGACTGAACACGACATCTGAACGTTGCAGGAGATGAACACTGAGGCAACTCGATACAGCTCTCTGTTTTTTCAATATTTAATTTTGCAACGTATCGGAGCCCAGACTTAAAATGGCATCTGCTGTGTGAGGGCCAAACTGTTCACACGCGCGTGGCTGCACACACAAGACTCTGGATCAAATTCCCGAGACAATTATTGGCGTCGGTGGCCTAGTGGTTAGGCTAACGGACTCGTAATCGTGAGGTTGCAGTTTCGGGTGTTCCAGCCGTGGGCCCGACGTTGTGTCCTTAAGAAAGGCACTTTATAAAAATTTTCCTCATTTCGCCCTGGTGGGAATGGGTACCCGGCTATAGACATCAAAAGATCTTGTCAGTATATAAGTGTTTTAGCGCCTGTAAATGGCTGCTCGCACTGTATGCTTCCCAGGAAGTTGAGGTTGCTCCAGAATGCTCTCACGTCTGCTGGGGTAATAGTACATACTGTGAAGCACACCCGGCTTGCTGTTGAGCGGGGATGGGATTTGTGCTATACAAATGCTATCTATTATTATTTTTATTTATCTCCGTCTATGTGCAGGATGCTGAATCCGCACTAATCTCGAATTGGCCCTGACAATCAGGATGGAAGCAGCCCGCCTCCTATACGACCCATACCGTGTTGAAGGGGGCAAAAGATCTAAGCTTGGTCGATAAGAACATAACGTGTTGATGAAGATATTTGGTCGCTTCTAAGGACAAGCGGGCTAACCCAGATTTCTGGGGTTTCCAGAAATCTTGTCCTACATCAAAAGTGGGCATTGTCCTACCTATTGGATAAGTTTGGTTTCATTGTTGTGTACATTTGTTTGATTATAGAGGAAACTGGAGTCGGAAGCCTAGTGGTTAGGCTACCGGACTCGTAATCGTGAGATTGCGGGTTTGGGGGTTCGAGCCTCAGCTCAGCTCGGTCCAACGTTGTCTCCTTTGGAAAGGCACTTTACACGAACTTCCCACTTGGCTCGGTCCTATCGGAGACGGACGTTAAACTAGGATGTCCCGCCCCTTAAATAACCTAATAGTGTTGATATGGGCGTTTCACCATTTTTATTAGAGAAAACTCTCCTTGTCCTTAAAAGAAACTGAGCAAGGGTCCAAAAACTTTACTTTTGATTTTCTCAAAATAGCATTTTCGGGATACCCCCATTGTGCTTAAAAGCGACCATTTGTACATTGCTTTCATGTCAACGGGTACAAATCTTGTCTTCGATCTGTTAGCCCAAAGAGGTTGTCGACTTACATGTATTACAACAGTTGTACTGACTTACCAAACTGCTTGCTTTTCACATTGTCAACAAAGTGTCGCTAACTGCTCGCATATACCGCTCCGTGTTCTTAGACAGGCAGATTGTTGTCGGGTGTTTGACGACAAGGAACACGATGAGCTGGTCGTAATTGGTCGCTTTTAAGCTCAAGGGGGTTATCCCGAAAAATGCTGTTTTGAGAAAATTGGAGGTAAAGTTTTTGCCCCTGGTTCATTTTCTTTAAAAGACAAGGAGAGTTTTCTCTATAACCAAACAAATATACACACCAATGAAACCAAACTTCTCCTATAGGTAGGGAAAAGCCCACTTTTGGTGTAGATCAAGATTTCTAAAAAAACCCCGAAATCTGTGTTAGCCCTCTTGTCCTTAAAAGCGACCATTTAACCCACTCAGGACCCAGCGGTCACATTGTTTGATTATAAACTTGGCTAGTGTGTCTAATGGGGACACGGGTTTATGTGATAGACGGAAGCGGAAATAAGAAAAAAAATGCTCACAGGGCTTATCTCACTCCTTGTATAGTTAATGCATGTTTGAGAGAAATGCTCACACTCTTGAAAGGCGCAAAAAAGCTTTCAGAGTAACAATGACAAATAAAAGATGTACAGTACAATCTTGCGCGTACATAGCGAAATCAGTGGGACGCATCATTTTGTATAAATTTCGCTATGTACTTATTTCTTTTTTTTAAAAATGTATACAAAAATAAAAACAATATTGGGACCTGACAATCTACTCGCTATGTTTACACATGGAACACATTTTTCCTTGTGTCAGAGGAGAGAGATTTCTTCGAACATAATCAGAACTTTCTCAGCTTGTTGTAATGCAAGACGTCACTTCTAGGGTTTGTTTCGAGAAAATCAATACTATT